GGAAAGGATACACGTCCTTTCTCGTGATTTTGTTCAGGCGGCGACAATCGACGCAGAGACGTAGGGTGCCATCCTTCATCCTTCTTCTTCACTAACACCACGGGGGACGCCCATGGGCTCTTGGACGGCTGGATGATGTCATTCCGCAGCATCTGATCAACTTGTCTCTTCATGGCCTCACGTTCTCGCGTCGAAACCCTGTAAGGACTCTGACGGAGTGGTCTGGCATTTTCTTCGGTTTTGATGCGATGTTTAGTGATTGGGGTCTGCCGAATTTTTGATGACAATGAAAAGCAATCTTCGTATTGCAGGAGCAAGGCCTTGAGCTGCTCGTGCTTATGGTTTGGAAGCGTGCGATTCACGTCGAAAGCTGTGGAAGGGGCTTGGTTCCTCTGAGCAGGTTCCGCAGAATCAGTGAGGGCGAAAGCACTGGTGGCGTCCACAATTTCTTCGATGTATGCGACCGTTGTTCCTTTGTTCACATGTTTGTACTCATTGCTGAAATTCGTGAGCATAACCGTTGCTCTGCCTCCCCGCAGCTCTTCAATTCCTCTTGTGACGCAATTATTTCGGGTGACCAACAGATGTAGACTGCCTTCAACGACGTCTTTCAAGTAAGATGATTTAGGAGCGCCGTCTGAAGTAATGACGCTGGAGCGAGGCGGAATGGTGACTTGTTCTTCCAGCACATTCAAGGCATGGTTTTCTGACAGCGTGCGCGGTGGTAGTGCTTCTTCTGTGGATAACATTATCGACTTTGTTCTTAGGTTGATGACAGCCCTATGGAGGCATAAGAAGTCCATACCAAGGATGATATCTCTCGAGCAACGCTGTAGGAGTACGAAGTCTGTAGGATAAATACGGCCGTTAATGGTGACTCTCGCTGTGCAGATTCCTGCAGGCGTTACGAGATCACCTTCGGCTGTGCGGATTTCAGGGCCTTCCCAAGCTGTCCTAACTTTCTTTAACTTCGTGGCGAACGACCCACTGATGACGGAATAGTCGGCTCCAGTATCGGCGAGAGTGGTCACACTGTGGCCGTCGATAAGAACGTCGAGGTCGCTAGTTCGCCGTCTCGCATTACAGTTAGGGCGTGGCGTCGGATCACGGCTGCGTCGGCTTGTTCCGCTGCTTCCACGTTGCGTCGTGAGGCCACCTTCAGTAAGTGAGCTTTCACCGTCAGGGCTTTGCAAGGTTGGTGTTGTGTTCGGAAAGCTCCGTCGCGTCGTCGCCGTCATCGGAGGATCTTCGGTAGTTCGTCGCACAGCAACCGCACCTCTATCGGGTTTGGCCCTTAGTTTTCCGGATACGGGCTAGGAGACCAGCCCCGCGTCGGGCCAGAGTACTGCCGGGGTTGCGGCGACATGCGGCGGCTGGGTGACAGCGAACGGGAAGGACTTCGTGGTTTCCATTGGGTTCCTATCAGGTAGTCGGTGATGTCAAGTGGCCGTTCTCCTGGCTGTGGACGTGGTGCATTGACGGCGAAGCCACGCAGTCCCATCTGTCGGTACTGGCAACGGCGGTATGTGTGTCCGGCCTCGCCGCAGTGGTAGCAGAGCAGGCGGTGGTGAGGGGTGCGCCAGACGTCAGTCTTCCTCGGCGCACTGCGCTGGGCCGCTGGCGAACGGTAGGACGTCGTGGGGGTGGTAGCGGTGGTGGCGTCTGGTGATGGAAGTGCGATGGGGCAGCGTTTTGGCGTGCACCTGGAGGAGGGGCGTGGCGACGGGCTGCAGCAGCATAGCTCATGGCATGCAGCTGAGGCTCTTGAGACTGAGGAACGCCCAGCGATTGCTGGATCTCCTGGCGTACGACGTCCACGATGGATTCCACGTGAGGCTGCGCTGAAGGAAGTAATTTTCGCAGCTCTTCTTGCACAATCACTCGGATCGTTTCACGCAAGTCAGTGGTTCCAAGCCCTTGAACACCGGCGTAGCTTGTAGACGAGAAGCTACAGTTATATTGCCGCGTGCGCATCTCGAGCGTCTTCTCTGTCGTAGATGCTTCTGAAAATAATTCGGCGATTGTCTTTGGCGTGTTTCTGATCAACCCGGCGAAGTGTTCATGTTTTACTCCTCGCATGAGCAGACGGACCATCTTCTCCTCGGACATGTCGGAGTCAGCGTGGCGGAAAAGTTTTATCAGGTCTTCCTCGAATAGCGCCACGTTTTCGTTTGGCATCTGCATGCGGGTTTCGAGAAGAGCTGCAGCCTTCTCCTTGCGCACCACACTTGCGAAAATGGTGAGGAACATGTCGCGAAAGACGTCCCATGTTTGAAGGATTTGCTCTTGATTCTCGAACCAGGTCCGAGCAGCATCTTCTAAGGCGAAATACACATGCTGGAGCTTGTCATCGTCTGTCCAGTCATTGAAAGCGGCGACGCGGTCGAACCTTTTGATCCAGCTTTCCGGGTCTTCCAGTGGCGAACCGCGGAAAGTTGGCGGCTCTTTGGGTTGTTGGAGCAGGAGTGGTGCAGGCTGCACGGGGGCGGTCATGGCTGCTGTAGTTGATGTCGGGATCCGGGTCTGCCTGGCTGCTTCAGGAAGGGGCCCGTACTCTGGTTGTAGTCCCCTCCGCCGGCCGCTTGTTCGCTGTTCAGGGTTGGCGTCCGTGTCTTCTTTGCCGCTTCGGCTGGGGTCGCGGCTTGAAGGGGGCGTCCGGAACATCAAAGAAGCAGCACCTCCACCAGATGTCACGGGGTCATGACATGGCCGAAGACAGGAGCGTTTGTGTTGGAATTGAACTGTTTATTTGGGCGAACCTGTGCCCGGTAAACGAAAAGTCCGATTGCAGTAGAAGTCTTGGACTGATAGCCGCGAACGGAGCGTCGGCCGTCGATCAACTACTCACAAGCGGCGAAGTGCGTCGGCATTTATACTCTTGCCATCGAATGTTCTAGCGTTATCGCTGGTGGTGGCGTAGGTTCTAGAATAATCTGTACAGTTCGCAGTGTGGGCGACATTTTATCGAAATGATTTACTAAAGTCCGGAAGCTTCTCGAAAACTGCTGGCGTGGTTTGCGCTGAGAATTGTGTAGTGTTTTGGGTCGATAACAAAACTTGAGAAATAGAACGTGGCATATTGAAGCTGTGAAGGAAAAATGAATAGTCAAGTCCCGGTTATGTCGACTCATATTTAGCTGTTATATCAATTTTCATTCACAGTGAAATGAGGCAAATTGATTCATTCTTAGTAAACTAAAAAAGATAGAGTTTCTGCTTAATGCTAAGTATTCACTCGATGATACCATCTCACTTGTTCACGTTTATTCAGAAATCACCATTTAGGTTTGTCACATGCCTATAACTAGCCTTTCGCTGGATTTGGAAAAATCTGCACCATCGTATAAATATTTTTTCCTGCACACTTCAAAATTCAAGGTCCAGAAGTGTTATTGCCTTGATTCAGCTCAGTTTACTTGCCTTGAAGGTCTCCCGAAGAAATCGTCACATAAGAGATGGTTTGACAATTTTTCACATGATTTACACTTCAAATTATTTTGAATTGTATAATTATGCGTCGTTGAAGAAAGTACGAGCAGGTTAATGCGGCCATTTCAGCAGGGAGGCCGTTCCCATCTTTGAAAGTACTTGGACTGAACGAGGCAAAGTTGTGACCAGTGGGCGTGCTAGCTGCTGTGGAAGACAGGTGCGGTAAGAAAGGCTTACAGTGGGTTCGATGTATGATGCTTGATTAGGGGTGCTGTTAAAGACAGTGTGATATAATGCGTGACTGGAATTACTTCGATGATCAGAGAGCTGAAATACACATTATTCTGCCTTGAAAGCTGACATGCTTATATTATACGAGTAATTTTAATGAATTATTGAATATTGTGACACGATTATGCGCAATACGTACTGCCGTCTTGGTATCACGAGTGAGTGACGAGCGAGTAACCGAACATTTCGGTAGCCTCACGAACATTACGCTAAAATAACCGAAGATTTCGATAGCTGATAATATTATAATATACATATGACCATGCCAAATTGCAGCCTCTCAAAGAGTAATTCCTAGATATTTATATTAATGAAAGATCTTTACAGGCGTGCTCTTAACTTTTTTAAAACAATCTAGGGGATTAGCACTGCGAGACAATGAAACAGCCTTACATATATTTTTATCTAGGGTCATCAGTCAATCATCACACTAAGTAGCAATGTTATGCAGATTTTTCTGCTTAGCAATTTGATTTTGGGTGTTAAATATAGTGCGATGAATGACACAATCATCCGCAAAAATTGTGATGTTACAAGAGACGTGACTCAGTAATATATATTATTAGGAATGGTGAAGGGCCAAGAAACGATTCTTGAAGAACGCCATATGTGACTAGTACTGAGCTACATAACTGATCGTTTATCATTGTTGATTGGGAGTGGTTAGTAACGTATTGACTAAGTTACTTTAGGATATCTGCGTGACAATTAGGCTTTCGGCGTTCAATAATAGGTGGCGGTGAAGAACGTGTGGATTCTTAGTTTCTACCATGCTTTTTTTCAGGATAACTGTAAACTGTTGTTACTTTTAGGTCTCTTTGTAAGGCAACCATGCAAATATGAACTAGTTCATTCATTTACTTTATATTATAACCATATAGGCCTAACTTATTGCATCACGGTCTCCACAAAAGCCCTTTTGCTATTTATCGTATGTCATAAAAGTTTAGTGTACTCGCAGGTAATCTTCCTCAAACATTCGTATTTGGTGTCATTTGCTCCTTTCACTATTGGAACACCCACAACTATTCGGCCTCTTGAACGCACCTTGAATTTCCATAACCAAAGAATATATTAGAATACATCAAGATTTCGTTATCGTTCATATCATTTTAGAAAACTTTCTTCTCTAGAAACAGTTCGCATTCAAGTGATTTATGGGAATTTTCATCCGTAAAGGCACATCGATACCGATAATGTTATTAGAAGAACGGTTCACCGCATGAAGTCTTTTGCGATGCGCTTTTCATAGAAACAAGCATTTCAAGAATAATACTCACAAGGTGAACGTATGGCACGAAGTAGCCGAACAGCGCCAATGGGATAGCGATCACCCAGACGACAAACCGTCGATTCTTCCATATGGACTTGTTCAGTACCTCACAGCAGCCGCTTGGTTCCTGCAAGGAGAGCATTATCAGATTCGTGTTGGCGTAAATTTTAGGACAAGTAGTAGGCATGCGGCGCAATCATGCCTTGTCGCTCTCGATATTTACGTAGCCATTGAAGTCCACAAATATACATGCCAAATATACCATTTCTGTTGCACTTTGCAGTGATAGGGCTGAAGTGCCCAGGATCTAAACGGTTTGTAAAATATGAGTGTTTATCAAGTGAGCTTATGCCTCCAAAGACAGGTAACATCGATTACCGTCGTTATGACAGCAAGCCAGCATGCATGGTGACTGGTGTTAACTGACGCTGGTATCACGCAACCACTCAGTTCTGGTGCTTTCTCCATTTATAAAGCACGTATTGCGCTGTGCGCGGACGTTTTCACTGTGCAACGCACAGTATTGGTCAAAACCATGGAAGTGCAAGGAAGTGTGATAGAACAGCCTATATTGTTCATTTCGCAGCAAATAAATTGGGATAATTGACCTGTGCCCTCAAAAAAGTTCTCCTTTCATTGAATAGTAAATCTGTCATGCGCCAACTTGTTGTGCAGGAAAATGCTTGGTTGTTTGCAGGACTAGACTAAACATGCTCGGCATGGTGCTACATTTCAATGCCACTTCGCACTTGAAAGTGCGGGCTGAATGAACGACACGCCTGTGTTCAATGACTATAGCACAATTCCTCGCAAAGTGTGACTTCACGTCATACTTCGTTTTTTCGTCTTCCTAGTAGAATACAAATTAAAATAAATATGAGTTTTTTTAGCACCAGTCGTTGTCCCACCGAGACCCAATTTGTAGAGGTGCTCTACGCAACCGCATTTCTTCATTTTGTGCCTAATGAGCAGTTTCAGCTGCCTAGGCCATCCACGCCAAGTCTCTGTGCAATTCACTCATTTTTCGTCGAGTGAAGGAATACGCTAAAAACTCACTGGGACTATTAGACATTCACTTAAGACGACCTTACACAGAAAACCGTCTTCCTTTTCCTCTCATCCGACTTACTCTTGCCGCCCCGCCAACCTTCGGAAGCTTCGTGCTTCTAATGTGCTTTTTCACTGCCTCAAAGTTACGAGGTACCTCACCTGGTTTAGCATTGCCTCTGAGATCAGACAACCTGAAACAAGCTACGGTGTCATGTAATGACTTCCTGGTGTGACGTTAGGTCACTGTGGCGTCACAAATACGTCACTAATTTCGGCCACCTGGGACGTCAAGTAGTGCCGTCATCTCGCGATGATAATGTTTCCATCACTCGTCCCTGACACAGCGGGACGTTCGATGGCGCCGACACTCCATGCCGAGAGTAAAATGTGGCGTTCGGTGACATACTTACGGTTTGTACTGAAAAAGCCTTCTTTAGGAGCCTCTTAGTGTATTTGAGGGCGCTGATTTTTTCTTAAGGGCGAACGTTCACATCCCGAGTTTTCTTTAAAAAACTTGACCATCCGGCACAATTTCAGGAATGATTCCAACATTCCCATTAGGACAGATGCTTCATAAAAGCTCCGCTGCTTGCTCGCCGACAAACCAGGTTACACTAGAATCAGCCGCCCTTCAAGCATTGCCGGCTGTGCTTTCTTGACCCTACGTTAAGTCTTGAAGTCCCGTCGAGGCTTCGCCAAGCAGAGAAGACCGTTTTATATAGGCAGTGGCTAGACGTTGTGTTTACCAAAGCTTACGTTTTTAGCATTGGGTTGGCCGACACTGCAGCCTGTGACCACTGTGGCAACGAAGAAACCATACGACGCATCCTTTGTAACTGCATAGAGTATGAATTGCGACCGAATAGAAAGTTGGGCTAGTTGGATATGCATGTTATACTTGTCAGTTTAAGCGCACGAATAAACAGAAAGGAAGAGACGACAAGCGCTTTCCCGCAACTGCGAGAAAGCGCTTGTCCTCTTTTGCTTTCTGTTTATTCATGCGCTTGGGCTGACAGTTATACCACGCCTAAAGTATATAGTAGACAATGACTATGCCTTCGAAAGGAATTGAGCAAATTAGATAATCAACCTCAGCGAGGGGAAAAAATTAATAAATCGACAGGATGTAACATCACAAAAGAAGGCCCTGAAAACGCTACTGCGCTTTCTAAACAGTTGCAACCAGGACAACATTCCTGTGTGCGTTTTTGTTTTCTCATGAGTGCACGTGCGTTTTTGTTTTTCTCCCTCTCTCCACCTCCTTTTTTGCCCCTGTTTCCCCACCCACACTGCTGGGTAGCAAACCGGATGCCAATATATAGTTAATCTTTGGACCCTCCTTTTTCTCTCTTATTCTCTGTAGCATAACTGTCATGTACACTTGAATGGTATTTAGGCACGTCGTTGTCTACCGCGCAGATCCTGTATTTAACAACCCTATCTAGCTTATATTCTCTGTCTCTTGTACCTATTAATACGTTATAATGAAGGCATACTTGAATTCTCCTTGGCTTCAAACGAATATACAGCTGGATCTTGTGTGTCATGGAACCAATAGAAGATATGTATTTGGGCTGTACAGGTGCAAGGTATACAATTATACCAGTGTTGAGCCACACTTGGACGCCGGCGCCAGGCTATCTCATGTTTTGCCACAGACCCATGTCATTGTCTGTACTTGTTTTAATATTAGCCCATTCTGCCGCCATGTCAGGTGAGGAATAACGTGCAGAACCGTATACTTTTGTGGCAGACGTGCAGAAAAGCATGAGGCGACAAAACATGCAGCTTTAGTGCAGTCAGTGACTAGTGTAAAGCTTCCCATTCATTCCCGCGTGTTCTGTGTAAAAGGTTCCAACCAAGAACGTTTTTCTTAAGTTTCTGTAAAACAAAAAACGGGTCATAAATCCTCTTCATTAACTTAACATGCTCAGCAGTGGTTCTTCACTATTATAATGAACTGCAGCATAAACAATATGGTGTAGCTAGGGATGTGCGAAAGTCATCTTAGAGAAGAAGAGTATGTACTTTGCTAAAGTATGTACACAAATAAATAGCCAAATACATGTATGATTGTAAAAGACGTGAAGAGAATCAATTTTATTAAACACATATGAAGTTTGTCTGTTAGGTTCGGGGCCAGGCTTTGACCTTCTTGAAATTATGCATAACGTTGTGCGTGACATACATCAGGCTTTCAAACCTATTCGGCTTACTTTAAGGCGAAAGTACTGTGCAAGGTGGAATGACGTTTGTAAGCACAATGAACAGTAGCATTGCCTCAGTTAAAGCAATTGCAGGGGTTTCACAACCCAAAACAGGGATATATTTTTGAGGGACGCCTGTGCAGAGAGCAGTGAAATTTTTAACCACCTGAAGTTCGCGAACGTTCACCTAAATCGAAACGCGAAAATCTCTACCATTTCGCTTCTATATAAGTGCGGCAGCCCCACCAGTATTCTGTCTCGTGATCTTCGAGTCAGCAGTCGAGCACTTTAACCAGTTTTGCACTATGCCGTGTGAATGGCTGAACCCTTCTTGCACAATTTCATGAGAAACCGCAGAACTTTAGCCTGCGTCCATTGTAACTGACGCAGAAATTAGTGTCATAGCTACAGTGCTAGCTTTATCGGCCCTAAATAAACTATTGAAAACATTTAGTGAGTGCTGCAGTGATACTACTGCAAGAAAAAACACGTACCTTTTCCTCGTCAATCCAGCTATGCATGACCAGCGGTGTTTTGAACGCGATGCCGCATAAAGCCACTGATAGAGTCAGTATGGCCATTACCTGTACAGAAAACAGTATAAGTGTACTTTCAGTTTGCATTTTAGGCATTTAGAACACCACTCACAGATGAGTAATTCATGAATTCAGAGAACATTGTATTCAAACACACTCTAGGTGCCCCCCCCCCCTCCTAAAAAAAGCTGTGCAAGCAGCTAGACAGGACCTGGGGGCGTAGAGAGGGCTGCAGATGCATTGCGTTTTACACAGCTGTAAGCGCTATAGACAAAAAACATTATAAAACAAAAACATAGTCACGTCGTATATATAATAAACATCAGAGCAATAATTCAGCTGACGCATTTAACGTGATATATTACTTAGTTCTTCGTGAAGAAAAAACGTTTCCTTCAAATGAGCACACACATCTCATTTCAACAGACTGAATGGGGCACTGAAATTGATATCGTGGCGTGGTACTTGAGAATCAAGTACCACAGGGGTAAATGTTTGATCTACTGCGAAGATGAAGCCAAGTTGTTTATTTCTCTTCTAAGCACGCCAGGGTGAGTTCGTTTGCAACGTGACATCCTTTTCTGGTGGCATGCGGACATGTGACAATCTTTCCTACCTTCCAAACCACACTTCCGAACACCGGCACGATTTGACTAAAACTCCCAATCAAACATCAAAAAAAGCTCGCAGGGTTTCTTGTGTATTCACCTTGTCTTGTCTTGTGGCCTAGAAGATCTTGGCTCATGCACACAAGGGGGATCGGCCACACTGTACCTTATATTGTAAATGTTTTTACACAATGCTTGCTAAAAAATAGAAATGTTTAACGAGGAACCAGATAACACGAGCCATGGCTTCACGTTCCACTGCATTGTTTCTTCGATTGTGGCCTGTGAACAATAGCGCATACCCACTCTAGAGGATTGGCCAAGAAAGCTAGTATGTCTGTATGCGGACACCGTAAACTAATTTCTAGCCTATTGCTAAAGAGAGCTCAGAAAAATAGAACGTTGAATTATCTATCAAAAATAAAATAAGAAATAACAGTATATGAATCAATAAGGAAAAAAGGAAGAAAATGCTATATCAAAAGACTAAAATTTTTAGTAGACCAGAAAGTTGAGTTTACACCACCCAATCAAAATTGAAATAATGTCCAATATTTATTCGCAATACCAAATATATCACAAGTGTTATTCAAGAATATAATAAAGGAGACGTTATATTGGCATGCGTTTAGATTCTTGAATAAAATTACATACTGCATCAAATACGTTTCTGTGGCAATGTCCCAAGGCAGAGGCATCGAAACTAAAAATATTATCTGCTGTCATTGCATTATCTTCATTATCACATCTACTGTGAAAAACAGAATAACTACAAGCCTTTTCATAGTTAAAAATTAATTCCAAGCGCTGTCTTCGTTTTCTTCTCTTGAAGTTGCGCTCTCTCTGCTTTTGTACGCCACTCAAAGAAGGGCGCTAGAGCGGCATTATGTGGAGTGACGTCGAAGTTTGGGAATTCATGGTGACGTTACACGCTTTGTGATTGCGACATCATGATGAATTCATATGGTGACATCATCGCGTGATGAAAACTGTTTGCTTCACTCGCTGCTGACACCGCGAGATGATAGCCCCGGAGGGTGAAATTTGCAGTTAAGTGAAGCATATAAGGCTTTTTCCTTAGCAAAAGTGATAAAATGGGTTGGGTAAAGGCTTTTTAATGACAGACCGGCGTTCGCTCAGCCTACCCTCAAAGTAGGCAGAGAATAATTATTGATTGATTTGATTGATTTGTGGGGTTCAACGTCTCAAAACCACCATATGATTATGAGAGACGCCGTAGTGGTGGCAAACTAACCTGCCTCTCTTTTAATCTATTATGCCCACCTAATTTATTGTCTCTCTCTGTCTCACTCTCAGATCAGTAAAGTGAGTGCAAGATCTCCCACCCACAACTCGCGACACGGTGTGGATCCACGCTGTCAAAAACGCTTTTACACTCAGCGTCGCGGGCTCTGCTAGTGCTCAAGCCTACCGCCGCATCACCTCCCTCATGGTTTCCGGAAACACATTAACCATCCACCTCTACACCTCCCCGCCATGATGCCCTGGGGGTCATACTTTGCCGCGGATTTGACTACTTCCCCATCTAAGCCATCCTCGACGATCTCCAGGCAAGCAATCCTAACCTCTCTGTCGTGGGCGGCCGCCGCACGCACCAGTCCCCTCACATCTTGGTTACCCTCATGAACCTCATATTACCCCATGCTCAATTTTCTGCCACGGTGTCCAGCTTCACTTTCTTCCATTCCACCGTAAGGTGGAAGCCTCTTTCAATTGCCGCTCGACCGGCCACAGGACCAACGTGTACTCCAAACCAAGGCAGCAGCTGTGCTATCACTGCACCGGAACTCAAATCCCTTTGTCTGGTGGGTTGCCACCAACTTGCATCCTCGCTGCATCGTCTGCGACGGGAATCAATCCACGCATAGTTCCAACTGTAAACACCACAATGTCCAGCGTCCTCAGTGCTTGAGGGCCCCGGTACCTGACACTCACCACTACCCACGACAACCCTGGCACTTCCAGCTGCCGCGCACTCACCCAAGCAAGTTACACGTGGTCCCTCATCAGCTCCACCCATCAAGTCGTTCTCTGCTTTTCCACCCATCGCACTAGCGGCGCCTAAACCCGCCTCTAAGCCAACGCATTCGACATCCGCCCACGGTGCTCCTGGCTCACCTTTTTTAACCGCCGGTCATTGCAGTACAGCAAGAAAATGCCTCCGTCCGACATCAGCTCGCTGCACAAAACGCTCAAACTACAGCTAAGAAGTAACCAAGTGATTCCCTTCAAGCGCGAATGTACGCACTTGAACAGTAGCTGAAATCAGTGGTCTTAATGCCATCCTCTATTCCCGCTAACATCTATTCCTCCTCCAACATGAACGCACACACCCCCGAAACATGCACTAGCAAGCACCGTAGACCGAAAGTCCACCATACATCTCTCCACCTCTCCGAAGGAATCCAGATGGCTATTAACACGGCCATGGTGGATTTTGAAAAACGACTGGAAAGTCGCTTTACCTCCATCCACCAGCTTCTTGCAGCACAACACGAAGCTCTAAATTCTCTGCGCCAGACTTTGCCTCCTATCACCCCGCTATGTCCTTCGAATCTCTTCAATCGACAGTCGACAGCGTACAACCCAACATTGGTAGAGCCTGTTCAGTAGCCAAATTATCCACCTCCGCCATGCACGAAAAGCGGTTCAAAACTTACTTCCGGTCCTGGTAGCGCTACTGCAGAAACAGGCTCTACGAAGCAGACGACTAAGCGTGTGCGTACGCCACGAAAGCAGCTTCTATCCGCACAAATATTGAATTGCTTCGAAATGCAACGGCGAGAACGACTACTTTTTATCTTTAGCTAATTGCGAAGGTTTTGTACATGAGCAGGAATGTCCGAAAGTTTTTTACGTGGTGTTATATCTTGTGCGCACTATAACAGGCACCCAGTGATCGGCAAAAACAGCAACTCTTCTCAAGTTCAGTGCGACAGGCATTATTGTTGCTCATTGTCTCAGTGATGAGCTGTGACAATTTTAGAGACGAGGCTTCTTAAGGAGTGGATCTGTCCATCCACCGTTGTCGTACATAGCCACCGGTAGCACATACCCACTCTAGAGCGGGTATGTGCCACAAGGCATGGGAGATGGCGATACATAGTATTCACTAGATGGACGCGCGGACGGACGCATGGGTGGACGAACAGACAATCAGGTGGATTGACGGATGGATGGACGCACAGAGCGTGTATGTGCCACAGAGGATGCGAGATACGAGATGGTGGTACTTGGAATGTTCACTAGATCAACGCATGAGCAGACAGACAGACAGACAGACAGACAGACAGACAGACAGACAGACAGACAGACAGACAGACAGACAGACTAGAAGACGGACGGACAGATGAATGGACGCAGGAACGTATGGACCGATGAACGCATGGGCAGACAAACGGACGCATGTATGGACGCATATATGGACGGAAGCAAGAACGGACGGACGGACGGAAGCATGGACGGGCTGACAGACGCTTCGCCCCAATCATCATCATTCACTCCGTGAATGTGCTGTGATATTTGTGCAACTGACGGGGAAGACTCCAGAGGTTCCGGTATATTATGTGAAAATACGTATTGGCACAATTTTGCTCAATCCGCGCGAGTAGTGCTGTGGGGTCTGCTAAACTTCGCCCCATTACCCATTATAGTTGGTGTTCAATGCTGAAAAAACGATTAGAACACACCGCTTAGCATTGCCAGGTACGTCGACTATGCGGCACAGCACATACGCAAAAATCAACCCTCACAAGCGCATCACTAAGTTAAACACGTGCACACCTTGATAGCGATCCATTGCTTTCGCTGGGTCATCTGCGCACGTCGGAAATGAGCAAATGGGGCTGAAGAGCTTCAGCTTCAAACAAAGTATATGTAACCTAAACTTCGGTTTAATAGTTACCAGCAGCTGTTTCTCTCATAGCCTGTGCATGGGGCATAATGAGTGACTCAACGCGTGCGAGCAGTTCTGTGAGGTGTAAAAGTGCGATGATAGCGTCAGATTTAGACGTCTATGCAATATGGCCATTCGGTCACAGGTTCGATTTCGGCCGTGGTGGTCGCATTTCTAGAAGACAAAATGGTAAAGGACCATGTACTGTGCGACGTCAGTGCACGTTAAGCAACACTTCATGGTCGGAATTTTAGGAGCCCATCACCATGGCGCCCTTAATAATGATTTGTTGTTTTGTTTTGTGAAACCCTAGATAATACTTATTGATAAAATCATCTTCATAAGCTAGCGACCCTGCACATACTCTTTCGCACCTTGAAGCACACATTCAGTGCGTCAATGCGCGCCAGCAATTCTGTCAGGTGGGAAAGCATGGTACTAGTGTCACTGTTACAAGTTTTTGCAATGCGCACATGCACACTGACACGCAGTTACATATCTTCATGAACGATGGCACATTTTTC